CCAGAATTCCATAGGATGTTGCCATAATTGTTCAAGTGAAATCACAGCATTATAATTATGTAGTGTGAAAGGGCATTTAGATAAAATAATTACAGTACATGCCACATTGTTGCATTAACATTAAGTAAATCTAATCCACTAACACTGCCTAAGTCATTATTCTTCCATCATTTATCTGCTGATATGCAAAAATGATACAACCATTTTGAGCCAAGTGAAAGGAAAGGAGCCAAAAGGAAAATGCCCTTTGTTGTGAAATCATATATGCCATGTGGATATTGATTGCATGAAATCTCCAGCAGTCCAAAGTCTGCATTACTGGCCTTACTCACTTATTAAAGAAAAACTGGGCACAGGTTAATTTATCCAAGATTCTACTTTGAACCCTAAGTCCCTTTTTGGGCTGCTCTAACTGTAGAAAGGAAGGAAGGAAGGATTTCTGCAGAGAACCAGCATGGTTTAGTGGTTTGAGAGTTGGACTACAACTCTGTAGACCAGGGTTCAAACCCCTGCTCACGCATGGAAACCCAATGGGTGCCTTGGGCAAGTCACATTCTCTCAGCCTTAGAAGAAGGCAAAAACAAACCCCCTCTGAACAAATCTTGCCAAGAATCCTCTTAGGGTTGCCTGAATCAGAAACAATTTGAAGGCAAACAGAAACAAATATTTTCAGCACAAGCTAAAAAAAACAGATACAAGGAAGATCAACAAATGAAGCCAGATAAAGATAATATCTTTGGTATGGGAGTGGAGTGCTTAAAAGCAAGAGATCTGGGAATGTACTTGGTTATGTTTAACCAGGCACGGAATGTGGCTTCTATATCAGAAACTATCAGCTCCCACAATATTCCCAAGGACTCTGCTGGGTTTTTTTTAAAAGACTCTAGCCTTCAGGGTTCATAGGAAACACATGGACAGTGTCTGCAAAAGGCCTAAAAACTAGATCACTTTGGGAATGCCTTTTTGACTCCTAACACCTCCCAGTCCACCCATGACATCTCCAATTTTTCCCATGAAGCCTCTAAATTTAACCTAATGGATGGGGGGGATGAATTCTATGCATCTTATTGTTTCAAAAAAATATACTGCCCATAAATACTTACGTGAGGTATGTTCCTCTTGTGTTGGCACTCATCATAAGGTCCACTTTCTTTGTAGGCGTTTCCAGCGTGCCAGTCAGAGAGATAGCACTTGCATTATTCACAAGAACATCTATCCCTGATTTATTTTTGGGAAAAAAAGTAATTTTTAGTGTCATAAAATTATCTTTCTCCAAAAACACACTAGCAACTTGCCTGCTTTGCTAATTGTTTTGTTTTTATTTATTTAATTTTTAAAAATGGACTTTAAAACCATGCTCTTAAAAATTAATACACTCAATGCATATTTTACATTTTAATTTAGGTCATTACCTCCGAACTTCTGAACAGCCTGATCCACTGCATCAGCAATTTGATCTTCTTCTCTCACGTTAACAATACATGGCAAAGCTTTTCCTCCAGCTGCTTCAACTGGGCAGGGTGGAAGAAAATAAACACAATGTGATTTGGTCAAAATTTAAATATTAAAAAAAGAACAGCATATATGATGCAATGGCAAGTTATTTATAAATCTAAACAAAATTGATTACAGAGCTCGCCACATTTTATGACAGCAGCTATCTTGACTCAGCTCTGGCTTTATACAACAATGTTGTAAGGGAGGGGTGGGCAAAAAATGACTCCTCAGATGTTGCTGGACTGTAGCTTTCTTCAGCTCACTAGCCAGCACGGCCAGTGTTGAGGGATAATGGGAGATGCAGTCCAACACTAACTGGGGACGGTCACATAGCACTCATCCTTGCTGTGAAGTTTAGCATCAGAATAAGACCTGGAAATGTTTTTAGTTGCTCTTGAAAATGTATTGTCTTGAATCTTAGGATAAGCTACACTCCCTTTATTCAAAGGTATCTTCCTTTCTGTGTCCTCAATTTCCTTACATTCAGTTTCTGTGAAGGATCTTGGATCATCTGCTAGGCCAGCATTCTGCAATGTGGTGCCCTCCAGATCTTTAGACAACCCCTATCAGCTCAGGCTAGCATGGCCAATAGTAAGGACTACTGAGAATTATAGTCCAAAACATCTGGAGGGCAACAAGCTGGACAAGGCATTGTACAGGACATATTTAAGAGTATTTCAGACCATGAGAGAACAATCTGAAGTAGCAGCGGGACATATGTTGCCCTCCAGGTGTTCTTGGACTGCAACTTTCATTAGCTCTTTCCAGCACAGCCAGTGGTGAGCAATGATGGGAATTCCAGTCCAACAAAATCTCGAGGTTACACATTCCATAATCTGACTTTAAGGTTTATGAAAATTTAGGGAGAAAGACTGTGACTGGCCATGTAAAGCTCAGAGAAAATTCACTGGTTTTCCTTACCATTTCAACAGCATATCACAGCATGCAGAAACTCAGATGTATCCTTACACTCAGCTGATTGAAACAGAACAGAAATAAGAATTCTGTGCATATCAACAGAGACCCTTAGTTAGAAACAGAGTACAAATGTCCCAGCTCAGTGAGAAGTCTCTGAATATTCCTCTTGATTCAAACCATTATAGGCTTAAATGATTTGGAGGTTAAAGCAAGCATTGGAGCTCATACATTTCATGTGCTTCTCTCAGAACTTACTTTCTTCTGCAGCGGTGTAGATCGTTCCTGGGAGTGTGCGATGTGGCACTCCTGTCTTAGCAGCTATCACAATATTTGCCCCATCCTTTGCTGCTTTCAAGGCAATCGCTTTTCCAATACCACGGCTTGCACCCGTGATAAAGAGCGTGCATCCTGCCAATTTCCTAAACAAAAGAAGAAGAACAGAGGAAAACTTTGAAAAACTTTGGAAAAAAGAAGTAAATCTGGAATTAGGAATCCCTGAAGATGGACACTGAAATTCAGTTGAAAATATATTATGAGCAGAAACTACAAAACCAGTGATTCCAGAAGTTTGGGGTTATTTGTCCACTGTATTCTACTTTGCCTAAATCAGAGATGGGGGAAAAAACAAGATGAAAAACAAATCAGAAAATTTAGTAACAAATGCAGTTCAGATGTTATGGCCATTAGCTTAAATAATAATTGTTCTTTTAAAAAGTGCTCCTTCAAATTAAGTTGTTTTGGTTGAATTTATGTTAACTGAAGCAGTTGTTTCTGAATAGCAGTTCTTGCACAATAAAATAAAGTGATTTAAAAGAAGCAACTCACATGGGATACTGGTCTAACAATAAACTGTCAATAAACTGTTCAAGTTAAAATGTTTAAATTCAAAAAGTAATTATTGCTCCATTAAGAGGATTGGATAATAGTAATAGCCAGACTTTTTTTTTAACAAAAAATAGGAATAATCAATTTTTAAAAACCAGGAATGTTTTCTTTTAAGTTATTTGGTTTAAAACTATGTTTAAACCTGGTTTAAATTCAGTCATTGTTGTTCCACCAGGAAGGTTGGAAAATAGTAATAATAGCTAGACTTTTTTAAAAAATACATGAATAATTTGAAGGGAAAAAAAAACAGTGGTGTATGTGCATTTTAAATTATTTGGTTTAAACCAACTCTGGCCTACACTGCATGTTTTATAGCATAATTTGTTTTACACAGATTTACATAATTTGTCTTTCAGGGGAAGGAATACAACAACAAAGCATACCATACAAAATGGGCTTTGCTCTTCTCTATCCTTTCCTCCAGGCAACAAACATAACACGTTTGCCTGGATCTTAAAGGAAGTTTTATTTTCCTGGCCTTTATGACTGTCTCCCAGAACTCACATAGTAAAAAAGAGGAGTGGTCTCTGCCTACATGGATACCATCTTAACTGAGAACAACAACATTTTGACAAAATGTAGGCCTGTGACACCTATATTGTCGTGTTTTTTCCCCCTCTTTCACCTGTATGATTTTTAATACCTTTGCCTGATGAAGAAGCCAGTAGAGCTTTAAAAGGTTGCATCATGTATTTTGTGCATTCTGGTTGGCCCAATAAAGGCATCACTGTTTTGTGGATTTGGGATTATTGCACTTTTGCCATAGGAATGTCACTAAGATGTATTTTGTGCAGGGTCACTGACCCTCATTGTAACTGCAACATCAATAGGTCATATATTTATATCCCAAGCTGCTTTATGAAGAATCAAACTACTGGCCCATCTAATTTTGTATTGTCTAATTTGTCACAGACCAAATTTAATTTCAACGAAATTATCACGAACTGCATTCCAATGGTAGGAGAAGACAAAGAACCAAAAATACCAGCATATTTCATCTATAAGCTCTTGTTGCCAATAACAAAGCCTAAGAAGAGGCATTGCAGCCTTTATGAATGGCAACAAAGGGCCTTTGCAGACTGCCAGAAATAGTGCAAATTGAGTCCACTTTAAGGGTTAGGGTTAGTGCTAGGGAATCATGGGAATTTTTTTCTTTTCTTTCTGAGACATTGAGCCTTCTCTGTCAGAGAGCTCTGGTGCCACAATACAGTTCCCATGATTCCCTAACCCTTAAAGTGGACTCAATTTGCACTATTTCTAGCAGTCTGCAAAAATTTCATGAGCTTGAAAAATCACCAAATAAGTCTAGAAATTTTAGTAAAAAAAATGATCCAAAAAACTGAGTCAACTTATCCACAGGTCAATGTAAGTACTGTACTTTTGACTCTTATTTAAAAAGGAAGCTTCCTCTGGTGAAAAGCAAGAGTGTAATCTGTCCCGGAAGCACTGACCCCTCTCTGTTCTCTCATCCCTAGCATTT